GGGTTGGAGGGCTTCCTTAGTACAGAAGTCCTGGCTTGTCTTCCCGTATCATAAGTTGTATTTTTTTTTTACTTTTAAAAGGAAAAATATGGGGGTTGATGGGAAGCCAGGCACTTAAAATTGATTTAGCCTTTTCTGTTGTTTTGGAAAAGTACTTATGATTGTCTTTTGATTCGGGGATATCTTATGTCCCAAGGGTACGGAGGCGAACTGCTTGTGGAGTGAAACGCGTCTTTTCACTTCCACAGTATAAGAAACGTATTCAGCAAGAGAGGCCCTTAGGATAAGGAGAAGCTGAGGAGGTGAAACAGGGCTCTTCCTCACCCATGACCTCTCTCTCTTCTCCCGTGTGACCTCTGATGGACAGGGCAGGGAGCCCTCTTACCAGAACAGTAAGAGAGACAGGCCCCTGGACTTGTTTCCTGTTGTTCCTTAGTGTGTGGTGCGACAGCCTTTTCATTCATCTGCCAAAGCTGGAGGCACTGAATTCCAAAGAAACGCTTGTGCAAGGGAATTTCCAAGTAAGGCTCGTGATCGGGGTTTGCAGTTTCACACGTGGGAAGTTGTTGACCTGAGGCTGCTGGGCAGGTGTTTTGTCCTTACTAATGTGACTGCAAGCAGACATTGTGTCGACAATCCCCCTGGTGCAGGAATAAATTACGGTAGAGCCTGCAGTGACTTCAAAAGCAATTGAACATTGGTCTGTACTGGATTAGAGGAAAAACAGGGTTTCATTTTTTTGTGAGGGAGTAACTGGATGTGGCTTAATTTATTGTTGAAAAGGGGAGAAACTGCTTCACCAGGTGAATTAAGCGGTATCCTGAAATTGACACCCCTAGTATTACGTACTGTGTGCCCTGGGGTATTTGAATATTCGTCCTTCAGTGCCGTGATCTTGGTTTCCGTACAGGGGCATTGGTTTGGAATTTCCGGTCCTTGGAAAACTTGGAAGGAAGAGCATCACTTTCTGGTACAACCACACCTCTCACAACATGCTTCTTTTTGGGGGGGGGGGGGGACCTCCAAAAAAGTACTGACCACGCCCGTCGGTATTTATATTATTTGCTGGATTTGTACCTATTTAGTTAAAAGGAATGCTGACATAAAAAAAAAGCTTATTTCCTGGCTCGTATTTAAATACTTGTGCATACAGATCCGGACCTGAAGGCTTGGTTTCAGTTCCTTGTTTAATTTCATGGAATTGGGAAATGGCCTGAAGAGGGAATTGGATTTGGCTCCGACCAGGCGGAACTGAAAAGCGGCTGTCCCCATGTTCCGTGAGGCGCCTCTCTCCCGAGGTTTGGTCCTGCCCGCCGGCGTGGCACAGGTCTCCTTCCAGAGGAAGTGGGAAGCTCCATTTTTGATATGGGGGGCGTCCACTGCCGCAGGACTCTGCAGTTGATCTCGCAGACGGGTTTATGCGCGGACACTTGAATAGAAACCGTTAAAACTCTGAAGCGCCGCCAGCCCCTGATTTTTTCGTTATCTTCAGTCATAGCTTTTTTTTCGTGGACGGACGTATCTCCTCACTGATGTCAATCATTGGGCTTCTCCAAACAAGCAGGCTTGTATCTTCTCCCATCAGATCCCCCCCCCCACGAGAAGTGGGCAGAAAATTCCCGATAGCTGCTGCTGGCGAAGTGGGAACGGGCACAGCGGACACGGCTGCTTCCAGGACAGCCTCAGGAAAAGGATATTTTGTGGGAGAGGAAGCTGCGATAAAATAGGGCTTCCTTCAGAGGACTGTGCCTTTTCACACACAGGATAGAACTTAACACAGTCCAGCATTTTTTCTCTCCGTCCCACAATAGAGTGCTACCGACAGGCAGGAAGGTTCTTTTTACAAGTTCCTCTAATTGTGTGTGAGTTATGGTGCCCACAGTGTGTTTAATAAAACTGAAGCAGGGGCACACACTGGGGCATTTGCCTTTGGAAATCATGGGGAATTAACTGACACATTGAGACAAAAGGCTGTTTTTTTCTTTCGGGGTCGGTAGCTGTCAGTGAAGGTCACGGTCATGGGGCTTGTTTTTGCTTTCTTTTCACTCCCTGGAGCGTCGCATGTTGTGGGTCCCGCCTCTTGCCCGGGGTGTTTCATAGCCTAATTGCCCCCTGGCCTCTGCCTTGCTCATTAATACAGCCCGTCCAATATCTGGGCCTGTGGAGGCAGGTCGTTTCCGGGACTGGGATTCTGAAGGCAAAGAGAGGAAGAGCCCTCGGAGGGGGGGGGGACTTTGAAGGAGGGGTCAGCAGTTCATTCATGTTTTGTTGAATTTCTGCCATAACTGCAGAATTCCGCAGCATCTTGTAAAGCATGACCTGGCTTTGTGTGTGTGTGGGGTTGTACGATTTGTGAGATTTGACATCTCATAGCTCAAATCAGATGCTACCAAATGTTCCCTCATAATAATGGTTGACCCTTATGACAGTGATCATGCGCTCATTGACTACCGGGGAGCTACAGATCTCCTCTGCTGCCTCTCAGAAGGGGATCTAAGGCGAAGCTCCTGCCTGTGCATGTTTAATGTCTTGCATGACAGTGTCTTGACAGGACAGGGGTGTGGACCCTGGCGTCTGGCGTCTTGATCGAATCCAGTCCAAAGCAGGAGAAAGTTAGCGCTTTAACTTCAGCCCCGCCCTCCCATTCAGTCTGTTCCAGGCCGTTGGCCTTTGGTCTGCCCCCCTGTTGGGTGTGTTTTGTGGTTTGACGTGCCAGCGCTGTCACAGAGGCGTCCCCTCTCCCCACAGGCATGGCTAAGAGCACAGTCCCGTGTGCTCTCTGGAGCGCGCCTGGAGTTCCTGTGCGGTTGAGGAAGAGCGAGATCTAAATGCAGGTTGCGTTCAATATTATTTGTGCAGGGCATCCATGTGGTGCATTGCCAAAGGGCAGGACAGGAAGAGACGGGGTCAGTGCTTCCTGCTGGCCCAGCAGCATGGGCAGGGAGTGGATGGGTGGGGGTGTCAGTTCCAGGGCACAGGCTGGGCCCTGGCTCCTTCCCCGGGACGGTCCTGACCCCACCCCCACCTCCCAGCTCAGCCACTGGGCTTCCTTAACGCCCTCATTTGGCTGGGTGGTAGAGAGGCGGATGGACCTCTGAGTAATCCCACAAGCTGCTTCATTAGCTGTGCAGCCTCACATCCTGACATTGTGCCTCTTCAAGAAACTTCCTTACCAGGAGAGATGTTTATTACTGCTATTTTTGCTAGAGGGCAGCAGATAAGACTCCGAATTTTAATCGAGTTCTGGGTTTGAGGAGCAGTAGGTTTCTGCTTTGGTACAGATTGTGCTGATTAGCCTGATTAATGAAATACAGAATTATTTTGGGGGTTCTGGTTGCTGGATATGTGTGCTCTGTTTGTTACTGGAAATCTGTTTGTCAGTGGTGGGGGTTGTGGTTACCCAGAGCTTATCCCTGAAGTACAGTGCACAAAGCACATGAGGACTTGCACCCTGGGTGGGACCGTCCGTTCTGGGACGGCTAGTCAAACGCAGGCAGCATGACAGGGAAACAGAACGCCCAGGAAATGTTCCTGCTGACGGGAGCAAAGCATGCAGTCTCTATATAGAAGTTGTCGCAGTCCGGAATCGAACCCAGGACCCAAGGGAAGCAGCGTTCCTAAAAACCATGCTGCCGTGCCGTCTTCAAAACACTGTGCTGCCCCTGTTTATACTCATCCATGCAGTAATTAACGTTGACAATTAACATTCATCATTAACGTGCTGCTTAATGCAATAGCCTGCATCCTGTGGAACAGTTTTGTGCAGTATTTGATCTTATTTTTCTGTGGTATTGTAGTGTTGATTAAAGAAAAGATGGCTTGTGCGGTTTAATATTAGAACACTATTGGGAATTTAGAGGTGGATGTTGGTTTTGGACTGTAAACTGGATGTGCTCCTGTACACAAAGGGTTTGAAACAAGCTTCCCTTGGCCCTTTCGATAAAAGACCGAGTGAAATGAGCAGATCAATAACATTATGAGCAGCCGCTCGAGCCAGCCAGGCCAGGTTGCCCTCTCTTAGGGTCCTTAGTAACATTTGTGGTTCTGTTCTGGTGTCGGTCGGTCCTCCATCGGGAGGCGTGTGTGCAGCCCCCTGCTCCTCACCTGCGCCGTGCTCCGTCGGCTTATCTCCCGCCGAAGCCGGGCTCCGATCTCGGGCCGTCGGCGCGGACGGCAAGCATTCCCGTGTCTAAAAAAGGAAAGGAAGAGGGAAGGGGGAAAGTGGCTCTGAGCAGAGACCCGGGCTTGTTTCTGGAAGGGGGACAGTTCTGGGCTGCGGCGAGGGGGTGCGCTCTGAGCCTGCGTGTGGGCACGTGGCTTCAGCCTTGCTGAGGCAGTGGAGCAGCTCGTGCCAGATGTCTCAAGTGCTCAGGGGGAGGTGTTTTTTTAACTCCTGTGTCGCCACTGGAACGCTGCATCTGCCGTAGGATAAATCCTGTGTTTAGGAGGGGAAAGACTGTCGCACCCTGAGGTCCAAGAGTGTCCGAGCAGCACAGCTCTGCGGCGTCCCGATTCAACACAGCTCCACTGGGAAAGGAGCCCTGATCTCAGAAGGAAATATTAATAGATGCAGAAAAAGCATTCCGACTAGGCTGAAGCAGTTGCTCTTACATGGCTAGTGGACAGACTACTTTGTGCAGTTACTTGCATATTATATTTGGTTGAAACCAGATCTGATGCATTGTCAGATTCAGGATCTGTGTATTGATACAGGGTGGTGTTTTTGCCTTTTCATTCTGTTTGCTGAAGGGCAAAACTTGTGCTGCAATAATACCAAATATCCTAAATCGCTTATTCAGAAAAGAGGACAAAAGCAAACTAAAGCAGACCCCAAATATTTTAGGTATCCACAAGTTGAGTCAGATCTTACTCCATTGTCTGTTGCTCAAACACGCGTAGTCCAACTCTTCACCCTCCTTACTTCTGGGCTTGAAAAGTAAAAGCTTTCCAGAGTGCATTTAGTTTCTGTGCTGGTTAGCTAGGATAGAAAGTGCTTGGACCACCTGGGTCCTGACTGCTGGAGTCTGGGGTCATTGCTGCGCCCAACAGCGACACAAGAAGAACGGGCCCTTGGCATTTAGCTCTGCACACCTGCAAGAAACAGAGGTGTGGAACGGGGCATATTGAGGTGTGCTAGCTTTGTCCTCGGTTCTCAACCTTTATAGTGTTTTATTCACTTGACTTTTAGTATCATATCGACAAAATGCTGGTCTCCTTTGATACATATTCAAACTTTTGTGGCAGTAAAGATGGCAAACGTCTATTGGCTTGAGGCCACAAAGATATATCATGTGGTTTCTCAGGAATGCTATGGCATCCCGGAAAATATTTGCTGTGACTAAACCACATGCTTTCCAGCTTCTTCTTCTGAGTATGTTCTTGCTCTTGTGAAGTCCATTCTTTGATGTGATGTTTTTTTTTCCCCGTTAGGATGGAGCTAACTGGATTTTTCCATGCAGGAACTCCTACTGCATGTCTGCTTAAGTCTTTTTTTAATAAATAACTGATACATAGTCTTTGCTCTGTCCAATAAAACTGTCCAGTAAATGGTTAGCTAGCAGGAGTTTCTTGTTCTGGTGTAAATATACCACTGGCTCCCTCACTGACACACACCATCTGCTGAACTCCAATAAATTCATTAAACTGGGGAGCCAGACTCGGGGATGTTTTACTGAAATCCATGTGGATGTTCTGCCTGGAGTCACTCTGACATGGGGAGGAAAGAGTTTGTTGGCTTCTTTTTCTCTATAAAAACATGCTGTAGAGCGTTTGCAAATACGCCCTTCTGGGCATCACTGTTGGGTTATGTGTGAGGTTATAGCAGTCTTGCTGCAAATTGTGACCTGTTCACAGCACACGCAGGAGCAGGCCAGTGCTCGGACATTGGATGATGGACAACTTTGGCTGCGAAATAAATGAAACAAGGGCCAAACCTTGGTGTTATAAAGGTAGTCCAAGTGAACACGTATATCACCTGGACCCACATGAACCTCTGATAACATTCAGTGGGGAAAATATGCCAAAATTCAGAAAATGTGTAATAGGGTGAATATTCTTTGACGGAAATGTATCTGTGCACATACGATGTGTGTGAAGGTGCAGCTGTCCAAGATAGGGTGCGTGCATAGAGCATGCAGTTGCCAATCGTTATGCACATGAGTATAAAATGGCTCTCAAAGGGTGCTCATTCTAATAAATAGAAACGGCTGTGTCACCGGTCAGGGCTAGCTGCCATGCTAATGAGCCCTCACAAGGTGTGATGATAGGTCGCAAGAGCTTTCCGTCTCCGTATGGTTGTGATGGAATGAGGTCGATATTGATTCATTGATATTGATTCCCCTAAAATCCCAGGCAGAGAGTCCAGTCCAGGGTGTGGGTTATCACCAGTAGTGTGGAACGCGCCCGGAATGAAAGCCCTCAGACACGGGGCTGGTCGTGCCCTGTCCTGCGCGTTTCCCAGGGAGAGGGGGGTGACCGAGGTGGCACCGCACAGCGGCCGGAGCCGGAAGTCCCTCACGCCTCCGTTCCCGACCTCGGAGCGCGTTTGCATCCCGTGACCAGAGTCCGCCCGTCTCTCTCTCTCTCTCTCTCCTGATCGCCTCCCCCTCGTTTTTCAGGTGGCGGTGGTGAAGATGAAGCACACGGAGCGGGTGTACGCCATGAAGATCCTGAACAAGTGGGAGATGCTGAAGCGCGCGGAAGTAAGGCCCCTGCCTCCTCCTCCTCCTCCTCTTCCTCCCCCTGCCAATCCTGGAGCAGCCACACGGGCCACCTGCGGGCCCTCTGGGTGTTTCGTCTTGCTCCTCTCCCTCTTTTCCCTGGTGCCGTCGCCTAGCTCCTACGTAAATCCTTCGCTCGGTAGAAATAGGAGACGGACCCCCAGCTGGGTTATATTTTAGCTGTTGTCAGGAGGGTAAGACGCCTGCCAGAGTCGACAAGGCAGCTTTGCGATGTGTGCGCGTGTGTGTTTTTTTTTAAAAACTTGACCCAGTTTTTCCGCAATGAGGTCTGTCAGCCCCTACAGGCAATCTGGTCTCCTGTACCAATTTTAAGTCACTAAGTCTTTTGTCAACATCACGTCGGTCATTAATCCTTCAATCCCCATAATATTGTGTGTTACACAAGACGGAGGGCGACCACTGTGTTGCAATAAGCTACTTGCATAATTTGGTTTTCTCTGTTTTGCCATTGTGCTGCTCAGGGTCATTTCCTACCACCTCTTAACGAGAGCCACTTGACTTCGATAATTGAAAACAGTCTGGAGTTTGTTGTTATTTCTTTTACACGTTCCCTCTAAATGCACGATTTCCAAAGCTGCTGGCTTTTGGGTCGTTAACAGAGGCTCAGACCTGGGCGTTTTAACACTCCACTCCCCTACAGGGATAGAGCCGTTCTCTAGAGCTGAGAAGAAAAGTTTTAAAGCTACAGTTTAAAAGGCAGAAGTCCTAATGATACCTTCTACGCTACTAAGATTTCAAACATGATGGTGGAATTTTAAAACACTTGTTAACTTCTTGCAATGTGTGTCTGCAATGTCTGTTTTCTACAAAGCTAAAATGCCCAAAGTTCATTTCCTCACGCAGAAGAGAAATAATGAAACACTTCTCACTTGGGCCTCTCTTCCATCTCTGACAACCCTTCCTGTAGAGCTGTCAGAGGCAGGTCGTGTTACAAGGAGGTCATGTAGTCGATTGATTTAATTAAAGGTAATGGCCACTTAGGATTGCAGTGAGCTGTCCAGGTTCATTAGTGGGGCTGGTGAAAGGAGAAGACAGAGCCAGTCATGTGTTAATGGATAAAATGGAAGGGGAGTTGCATTGCTTTCTAACGCACGTGGATCGCTGAAACGCTATATTGTGTGTCCTTTCCCCCAGACCGCCTGCTTTCGGGAAGAGAGGAATGTTTTAGTGAATGGAGACTGCCAGTGGATTACAACGCTGCACTACGCCTTCCAGGATGACAACTACTTGGTAAGAGAATGTGTGTGATCAATGTGCACAGGACACGTTGGCTTACTTGGAGAACCCTCCTAGAACCCTAGAACAAGAAGTATGTCTTTACGCAAAGGATGGTGGGAGTGTGGAACAACAGCCCTGTTGTTGAAGGCTTGTTTCAGGAAATGGCTAGGTGAGTTCCTTGAATCAGTTATCTTCTAATGGGGGAGTCCTCTCACTTCTAATCTTTATATTCTTGACTGTCAGTTGCTTTAGATTTTTTTTTTGGGTAATGTGACAGATTTATGAAGGAGTTTTAATCAAAATGCTCACGCTTTCTGCATGAAAAGGTGCAGATCCTTCTGCTTACTCTTTAAAACATTTGTTTTATTTTATGACTTAAACTGGCTAAGCGTCACAGTTTGGAATCGCCAGATGAGTCTCTCATAAATCTGTCCCTGACTGTTTTCTCACTCACTCCTGCGCTTTGGCCTGTTCAGTATCGCTTACTAGTGTTGTCTAGGGAGGGGGCTCAGATTGATCAGTGACCACCAGGACCTGGTAATCTCAGGTTCTTTATATAACGCATCGAGGCAGCAGAGCACAATAAACGCAATTCAATTAACTACAAAACATAAGAGTCCATAAACTCGTCCCAGACGAGGCTAGTGTTGGGTTCCAGTTTCGTTCTCAGAAGATCAGGAACAGTGAGCCTGGGAAGGTTTGTACCTCCCCCAGATGCCAAGTGGAAGTGAGAGTGCCCGTTCTCACGGCGCTTGAAAAGAAGAACTTCATTTTAAAACGGGAGGCGTTGTCTTTATTTTTCCAAAGTGCCAATGTTCTGCTGGTCGCCTTGCTTGCTTGACACAAAGGATGGGTTCGCGGAAGGCGCGTGCGTCTTTCTGACTAATAAAACGCAGCTCGCAGCACGTCAGCTGAGTTTGTGGCAAGACGAGCTGGGGCCGCTCAGACATGACCTTGCGCTGGAACTCGGCAGCCGCCTGCTTGTGATACCAGCTCATTGTTGCGGGTGCTGTTATTGTTGGGGCGTATCCAGTTTCTATGAGGGATGAGTTCTATTAATAGAGACTTCGGAGTATTTCATAAACACTCTGGGAAGAGCATGAGTATTATACAGTACAAGGGCAGCACCACCAGTGTCCTCCAATTGTGCACTCTTGGTTGTCCGTATTGATAACTTTGACCTTGAGGTTTATTTCATTTTTGACCACATGAACTTCTCTTTTCCCTCTTGAGTCCATTTCATTCATTTAAGCGACACCAATGAAATATCACATTTTGTTTTTGTTATACAGTGTATACATCTACAACTCTATTCACACTGCCTTAGATTAGAGATATTGAACAAGCATCACCCAATATTCTGTAGCTTTGGCACACTCCCTGTCTAGAGCTGAGCGAAATAATACCGCCTGCTCTGCTTTCTCTAGTATCTCGTTATGGACTACTACGTTGGAGGGGACCTATTGACGTTACTCAGTAAGTTCGAAGACAGGCTTCCAGAAGATATGGCCAAGTTTTACCTGGCAGAGATGGTCCTGGCTATCCATTCCATTCACCAGCAGCATTACGTCCACAGGTAGGTGTCTGCAGCGTTGGACTCACTTTGTCAAATTACATTTTTAGGGACGTTTTGCATCAGTGCCGCCGAAACTCAGAAGGGCTTTGGCTGAACTCAGAACGTATCTCAGTGGCATTGATGGACGTTTTGCAGTCTTTTCCTCTCTGAAGACTTTGCTCATGCTCAGGAACGGGCTGTGGTCTAGGAGAAGGGAAGGGCCCTGGATTGAGTGATTCAGTGTGTTGCAGAAGAGGGGTTGAAATTCACGTGAGCTGTTTGTGGTTGGAGCCGTAAGGACTGACAATCTCCGTAGGTTCGGTGACCCGCTGACCTCAGCTTCCTGCTTCCTTCTTGTCCAATGAGCAGAGGAAAGACATCCGGAACTTCACCAGGGTCTTTTTGTGTCATCTGTTCCCGGGAATCATTTTTTTTTGTACCAAAGATATGACCCGAGGAGTCATTATGTAGCATTGCTGTCTCCTTAGAAAATTCAGAATCCTCTCTAAAAAATTTTTTAAAAAGTACTGCTTTGTGGTCTTTGAGCAGGAATGGCGCTGGGGCAGGTCTCAGGATGTGTGCAGACTGACAGTACTCGGTTATATTACCATGAGGCCACATGCGCTGTGTAGTTTCCTATTAAATAAGAGAAAAGCCTTAGCATTTTGTTTTTAATCCATCACTTACACTTTCAGAAGGGCTGCATTGAAAAGAAGATTGGATTGCTTTGTTCACTAGTGTTAACGTTGTCAAACAAACAACTTTGATTTCCGGTTTCCTTTTTCCCCTCTGTGCACGCCTGATGCTGTTCTTGTTTGTTTTGCTCGTCTTTCTCCTGCTGGTGAGGCAGTGACTTGAAGCCCTTGCCAAACTTGTACAACAGAGGGCCGTGTGTGCCCAGCGGGCTGTGTTCCCAGCTGTGGCTCTGCCACTCGAGCAAAACATGAAGCAGGAGGCATGGACAATGCTCGGGTTGTTTAGGGGGCGCACAGTTAGGCCTGTCTGCGTGCAGCTCGTCACCTTTCGGGGAGGGGCTGCTGGGGGGCGCAGGACTCTTGACTTGTCTGACTGTGCCGACTCTCCTAGATGTTCCTGTGGTCAGACCGTGAGCAGGCTCCCCTCTTCATCCAGAGCTACAGTATGATAGTGACCTCTCCACTCTACACTGTTGTGTCAGTGCGAGGGTTAGCTTTTCCTCTGGGGGGGGGGCAGCACAGGCCCCTGTGGCATGACGGGGGGGGGCGGAGCGGAGCTCTGGATTAAGGGCAACACGTTGCCGTAGCAACCACAGCTGCCCTGGCTAATTGATGACAAGCCTCAGCTGTGGGGGGGCCCTTTAGCAGGCACTGAGCAGCGCCCCGGAGGGACAAGCAGACCCCCACAAGGGGAGAGCCTTCCAACGACAGTCCCAGTCCCGATCGTGACGCGAGCGTAAGGCCGGCGTTTTTACTTCACTTTGTTTTCTTCTTCCTTTCTCCTCTCCTGCCGTGTATCTCCACTGGGAGAGGTCGAGCTCTCTTTGTGTTTTTGGCCTTGCACCCCTTTTCTCCCAGGCTGGACCCAGTTAGATAGCGGATGTCCAGTCTGGGTACCGCAGTGCCGAGCGGTTCTTTTTCCCAGGCTGCACCCCACTAAATAGGGACAGTCCAGCCTGGACTTTTCTTTTTCCTTTTGGCCTTGTCCCTTTTCACTAGCCTCACACCAGTGCTTCTGCCCCCTCAGACGGGACGTAGTCTTTTACCGGTGTTCGCCGTGGCTCCTACCACGCCCGCACTGGTACACCCCCTACGGTCAAGGGTGAAGACCGTGGCCTCTGCTGTGCTGGCAAGGAGGGAACAGGAGCTCGATGGACTCATGCCTGCTGTCAACGGTGGTTGACCTGTCAGATACACGCAAGGCCCATTGATTTACTGTTCAGCTTGACTGTTCCTGCCTGTTAGTCCATGCTGCTGAGAGAGCCACTTGAACTAGAGAAAGGATAATCCCTAAGCATAATTTGGGCTTCAAAGTTGCAGTCATCATTTCTGTCCAGTCTTAATCCCTTGTCCTCTTATTTCAGTGTTGCTGTATAAAAACAGCAATTAAAAATAAACGAGAAGTAATTTGATGTTTCAGATTTATTTTTTTATAACGCCAGAGTAACTCTTCTCTTTAAATGCACAATAATACAGATATTTAGATCCTTCTGCATAGTTGGAATGCTCCTTGTCATCTTATATTGATTTTCAATATATACCCATGCCTGTAAATAATTAAATGGTGGATATTTCTCTCTTTCAGAGACATAAAGCCAGACAACGTGTTACTGGATATGAACGGCCACATTCGCCTGGCTGACTTTGGGTCTTGTTTGAAGATGATGGAAGATGGGACTGTAAGTACAGTGCTCAGTTCAGCTTGGCCACTCTGACATGGCAAACACTGTTCCTGGTGACTGTTCTGTGTGCCTCAGGTTGACCAATGTTAGATGAACCGTTGCTGAATGTTTGAAGAATCTGAGGTGTCATGCTTAGGTCACCCAGTTCCCTCTGCCTTTTCTGTTTGTGTTAAATTCTGCGTGCCCAGTTTTAATCTTATAACAGTCTTCAACTGTTATAAAACAACAGTTGTTACTTAGAAACACTTTTATGGTTCTGCTGAGCAAAACAGTTGTTCCCAGAGACTGTCCAGAAAGCCTCCAGACAGAAAAAGTATCTGGGAGGCCTGTTTACGCAATCTGTGTGAATCAGTCTGTTTAGGGTCAATGAACCGCCTTCAGATCATTGCTCCACATGGTTCTGCTTCAGTGTAGGGAGCCACAGAGCTGACATGTACACATCCTATCCAGGTGACTCTGTGGTATCTATCACTTGACAGGCACCTGACCTTTACGTTGTGGTTTTCATTGGTGAGGGATCTAAATCACATGGAAGGCACGAGTTCTTTCTTTATCCAGTTAAATGAATGGCATCTGCAACATTCATCCTGAATTGGCTTCATCATGCCCCCCTGGAAATTGCAACAATGAAGCTTACTGTGTGTGTGTTGTGCAGAACTCTCTTTTCAACAGGGAAAAGTGCATGGGGTTTGTAAAATGAGCGCATGTGTCTTGATGTGGAGTTAATCTTCAGTCATCTTGATCCTTGCTAGACTTTGGGACCAGTGGCTGATGGATAAAAAGCTCCCTTCTGCTCATTGTCCTCGAGCCCAAACAGGTTCCTGAATGAGAAATGTTTGCGAATGAAGCTTGGGCTCAGCCTTCCCTTGTGCGTGGCCATGAGAGCTGCCCCTGGCCTGCTCCATGCTGACACCCCTGTGCTAACCTTGCCTCCGGCCCCTTTCGTGTCTTCAGCACCTTGCACACATTGCCTGCCTGCAGTGGCTTTGCTTCACAGGCGCTAACACTAAAATGAGCAGAACGGATCTGGATTTAAAAGAACATTGTCTTGCTAGAGTAGTCATTCTTACTTACGCTGTACCTTTAAGAATTTTGATTAAAAAATTCAGTCCATGACTTTACTTATACTGAAAAATACTCGTATCACCCAGTAATTAGAAGGTAGGAAAAAATATTTTTTGCAAGCTGTGATGCACATATTAAAACTGGCAGCAGTAATTTAACATGCAGAATAATTGTTTTATAGCTCGAGTATTAAATTGAATTTTAAGCCTGATGCACAACCTATTCCTAACTTCATATCAAATATCTTTGCTTTAATGCAAAAGGCCTCCATAATGGATATATTAAGCTGTGGGTGGGTTTGTTTAGCTGTTGTTCCATTTCATTTTGCAGTTGTTTCAATTTACCCTGCTTTCAGTACTTTTCAGCAACCTGCCACTGCCATACTCTTCCGTAGCTTCACTTGGGTCAGGTACAGGAGCTGTTCACTTTCTCTGCTCACCCCTCACCCCTCAGTACACTGGAGCAGGAGGAACGGATGACTTTGGCACTGGGCATCTCACTGAGGGAGTGCAGGGGAGTTAGGCCCTTTCTCTGTAAAGTGCACTATACAGCAATACAGTACCCAGTGCAGCTGGTAATAAATTAGTGGTTATGATCTCCTCAATGTGTTCTACTATAATTTGCACAGTTCCAGTGGTTACAGGCCTTATTCTTGATAATTTATGTGTTGTGTGGAATGCATTGCTTTTAAATGGGCTTCCCTTTCATTGACTTTGTAGGGAGCAGTCAGTTTCTGCTATTTGCTGTGCGTTTCATTATTGTTTAATTTGTTTTTTCCACACCAGGGGGAAGCTTTTTGCATGTTTGCACTGTGTGGAGGTGTGTGGTGACCGGCAGTAAACCAGTTTAATTTGAGCTGCTGCTTTCAAAGAGGGGCTGGGATTTCTGTTTTGTGTGTTGTGAGTTTTCATCACAGTGTGAAGTACAAGGCTATGACGGCAACTCAATGCTAGAGATATATCAGACTTTGGGTTTAGAAAGAATAGCAGTTGGCATTGCACTTTGCCTTGTTATCATTTTGAGTTTTGACTCCCTGATCATAATCAGTGTGAGAATTGGGTCCATGCTTGTGTATTTCAGACATGAGAGCTTTTGAAAGACCTATGTCAGTGGCCCTCAAATTGAGACTACACACCATCAGATATGGGCAGGGTGTAGAGCTGCAGCCAGAGTCCTTTCTCGGTACTCTGGAGCCATTGCCCAGCTTAGCCTGACAAGTACACTGGGCTTGGGACTTCGTCTGTTTGCTAATGTGTTTGCTAATTGCAGACGCAGACCCTTTTACCTGAGAGCATAAGACTTAACTGGCACTAGGATTTTTTTTTCAAAGAATCTCCGCAGGAAGCATTCAGTGAGTGAAGCACAAGAAGGTCTTTATTTCTGCACTGTCTGGACTCCCGATTTGCTTTGTGCCAATGTGTACTGTAGAGGAGCTAGTCCGGCCGTTGGGCTTTGGAGGAAAAAGGTGAAAAGTTGGGATAACATTCTGGGTCCCACTGGAGCTCCGCAGGTGTGAGCCTGGCCAGTACCTGGATGGGAGACCTCCTAGGAAAGCCAAGGTTGCTGCTGGAAGTGGCATTAGTGGGACCAGTAGGGGGGCGCTCACCCTGCCGTCTGTGTGGGTTCTGGGGCCCCAGTACAGTGGCAGGGACACTATACTGTAAAAAGGCGCTGTCCTTCGCATGAGACTTAAAACCTGACCCTGTGGTCATTAAAAATCCCAGGGTGTTTCTTAAAAAGAGCCTTTATAATCTTGGGCTCCTTATAATCCCCATGTTTGATCTGGCTTCCTCACTCGGCTCTCCGGCCCACTGGTTGGTGGCGGTAGTGGGATCGCCCAACGCCTGTCCAGCGCTTGGCGTTCAGTGTCCAGAGCAGCGCTACGTAAGTGCAGGGAAGAGGCTGGGAGCAGGACCCGGGGCTTGGGGGGAGCTTCTCAACGCGGTGTCGGCGGTTTGCAGGTGCAGTCGTCGGTGGCGGTGGGCACCCCGGACTACATCTCGCCCGAGATCCTGCAGGCCATGGAGGACGGCATGGGCAAGTATGGCCCGGAGTGCGACTGGTGGTCCTTGGGGGTCTGCATGTACGAGATGCTGTACGGGGAGACGCCCTTCTACGCCGAGTCTCTGGTGGAAACCTACGGCAAGATCATGAATCACGAAGTACGTCTTTCGCCGCTCGCTGGTCTTTTTCTTCCTCGTTTCTATCCCAGCCTGGATGTCCAGTCGCCCCCCCCCATCTCTCCCATCTCTCCCATCTGCTTTAGAATTAATTGCAGTGTTGTGTCAGTTTATTCGTCACAGGCGATAATCGATAACGAGGAGATAAGCCCGGTTCATTTTCCATCTGCGTGTTGACTGGAGAGCCCTGCTCTCTTTACTGTACTGTGCACAGCATGCTGTTATCAGGCATTTCGCAATGCTGTTTGAGGTTCCGGGGGAAATGTGCCAACTGGGCAGACTGCCTCACCCCTGCACGGCATTGTCAGGAGTAAAGAGAGACTCGCTGGTATCGACTTCAAAGGTAATGGGTTTACCCTGCAGCAAAGCAGTCGGAGCTCCTTTGAATTGAGTGTGTCTGGATGGAAGACTGTTAAGTGTGGGGGACATTAAGAGACGTTTTGCTCAGCTTCAGAGTGCATGCTTTCCGTCTCACATTCAATTCCCAGCATCTCCAGGGATTTCACGACTTCGTTGCACAGAAGCAAACTGTTGAAATGCATTTAAAACCGAGAACAGTTGGCACTTCTGTACCCAAGGGATTGTGGGACATGCTGACCATGCTGTCGAAGCCGATATCCTGGCTTCTATCAGGAAGCAGCAGGATGAGATCCTCGTATCAGTGGACTACTAGTTACTCCTCTCGTTTGTAACCGTTCTTATGTTCTTACTGGTTCTCGGCACCTTTTCAAACCCTCTCTCCCGTCCCTGTGTGCCCAGGAGCGGTTCCAGTTCCCGTCTCACATAACGGACGTGTCGGAGGACGCCAAGGACCTGATCCAGCGCCTCATCTGCAGCCGGGAGCGCCGGCTGGGCCAGAACGGCATCGAGGATTTCAAGAAGCACCCCTTCTTCAGCGGGATCGAGTGGGACAACATCCGCAGCACCGAGGCCCCCTACATCCCTGACGTCAGCAGCCCCTCGGACACCTCCAACTTCGACGTGGACGACGACGTTCTGAAGAACCCGGTGTGTCTCTCCCCCCCCCGTCCCTCCTTTCTAGCGCCGTCTCCAGACCTGCGTGCCCCCGGTTGATCTGTTCGTCACAGAGCAACACGCTGACCTTTAGAAAAGGCTTCGACTTGCAGCGGTGCAGCAGCTGTCCGGGGGTTCAGTGACACGGCAGCAGTGGGAATGCTTCGGGCCTGGCGCATCGCTCGTCAGATTAGAAAGATGGCGCCCGTTTCCGAGTGGCGTCTGTTCTTCAGCAGTGCTCTCTCTCTGGGGTGTCTGACCCCCTGCTCTGGTCTGCCTGCTCTCTTCCAGGACATCGTGCCTCCAGTGTCCCACACCGGATTCTCGGGGCTCCACCTGCCCTTCGTCGGCTTCACCTACACCACGGACAGGTGAGGGCGGACGCTCCCCGCTCACTTCCTTCGCAGTCCAACGGTGTGCGTCTGTGCTCTGACAGCTCGAGGGAGTCTTCAGAACAGCAGTGCAGACTGAGGAATGGGAATAGCAGAATTTGTGGTTGTGCTGTTGCGTCAGGAGTACGTGCCTGCTGTGTGAACAGTGTCCAGCGATGTTGCTGTCTGCGTGTTTCAGAGTGCTCGGTATCAGTACAGAGCTGCGTTTACCCATCACACAGGGGAGGGGCAGGGCAAATGTGTGGGGCTTTTTGTGGTTGGAGGTGATTTTTCCAAACACATTAAGTGATTAAGGACCTGCACTCGGCCTGTTTCTGATATTAAAGCTGCTTCAGGCATTTAGAAGCACCAATTCTGGAGTTAGACTTTGTTGTAGGTGAATAAGCCCAGTACTGTAGACCAGACGTTGGTTTTCATTCCATCCAAGCTAAATTACCTCACTGAAGCCTTAATTGAACTAACAAGTTGCTTGACTGGAATATTTAAGAGTTTTTTTTGCACAGGAATTTGGGATTTAACACCTCCAGCACGTTCTTAGAGCTGAAAGCAGTCAAACAGTTTGAAGTAAGTCAAAGTAAGGGTTCAGCTGTGTACCTGGGAGTCGGGCTAGAACAGACATTGGCAGGTCTGTGGCGCCCCAGGCCCATTCTGCAGATGGTTGTGGGTGTCGTGGGGTTTGGGGGTGTGTGACGCGCCTGCGCTTTGTGCCGTGCAGCTGTTTCTCAGACCGCGGCTCTCTGAAGAGGGTGCTCCTCTCGGGCGGCCTGGACTCGGACGTTCAGCGGGACGTGGAGAACAGCCTGCAGGTGGAGGCCTACGAGAGGAGGATCAAGAGGCTGGAGCAGGAGAAGCTGGAGCTCAGCCGCAAGCTGCAAGGTGCGAGAGCAGACAGGGGCTCAAATCGTGGGATGCCCCCCCTTTCCGAGTGGCAGAAATAGATGTCCTGCAGCTCGTAGGAGTGTCCTGCTGTGACAGGCTGAAAGAGCTTCACCCTCGTAGTCTTGAAGAGGTCCAAGTATTCCAAGTTGATGATGGGCCAAACGACTTCCTCGTTTCTTACGTTCTGTTGAAGTGAAAATGTGATTTTACAGATTCTCCAATGTGGAGGGCAGATGCGGAATCAGAGCTGATATCCGTTTCTTCCTCGCCTCAGCTTTGGTTTCAGCAGCTCATTCCTCATTTTGTAGTTTATGCCTGGTGACCATAGTCACAAATACATCCTGGTGTCGCAGTCAGAGCAGTGAGGTGGTCTTGAAGGCAGCGTCGGCTGGCCTGGGGCTTTGAGCAGATCAATATGCGACTGCCTTTCTCTCCTGTTTTACTTATTTTATTGTCCCAGATGCGAAATGTGCTTTGCAGGCAGGTAAAAGGTGTAAAACAGCACACCGTGCATTTATCACAACATGAGCCCATTAACAAATAGGGGACATGCACTTGTGAGGAGAAACACACTGTCAGTTGTCTGTCTGTCTGTGTTTGGTTGTGTGACTGTGCCATTTTGCTCCCCAGAATCCACACAGGCGGTCCAGACCCTGCACGGCTCAGGGCGGGGATTGGGAACAGCCAACCGGGACAAGGAGATAAAGAAACTCAACGAGGAAATTGAGCGGCTTAAGAAAAAATTAGCAGGTTGGGAGTTTTACGTGCTTCCCTCCTCCACTTTCAGACTTCACACAGGAAATCCCACAGGAGCCGAAGCGGTGACGGCGGATATAAACTGGATGGTCATCGTCCTTAGATGGTTCTCAAAGCATTCCTGCCTATGGAGTGCAAATCCTCCATTTCATTCTTGATGAATTATGTGAACATCAATGCAGAAAGATTACGAGTCCGAATTGTCACAGCTGACTCACGCAGGGCGTTTGTTTTGGTTTTTTCCCCCTGTGTCTTCCTCCCAGACTCGGACAGGCTGGAGCACCAGCTGGAGGAGGCCGTGACTCTGCGGCAGGAATACGAGACCTCGTCCACTAAGCTGAAGGCGCTCGAGAAGCAGGTCAGGGCACTCCGGCAGGAGAAAGAAGAAATCCACAAGGTAGGAGAGGGCTGTCGGGGGGCTGTCTGTGTTCTTGGGGGTGGCCAGCCCACCCCAGGTACATGGTTTGACAAGAGTAGCATTGGGTTCAGCGGTCTGTGGAGTTTTGTCTTTAGAAGGCTTTATAAATTGTCAAGTTTCCGTTTTGGATGGCATTGAACAAATACGGGTGTGTTTAATGGGAAGGTGGGAAAGCCCCTAGGCTCAGTTTAGCTCCTCTGATTTCGGTTCGAATGCATGGGGAGTGAGACGCCTGAGCTTGCTTCGTTATTAAGGTATAAAAAGCCCACTGATACCTCCCAGAGTTTCAGGACAGAAGCAGGCAAGGTCCTGGCTTTATGCACTTATCTGTTTCTGGATCATTGTGAGAAAAACATCCCTGCCCTGCTGTTGTTCAGATTTTTGGCAGCCCTGCCAACTTAAAGCACAAGAGAACCTTATGAAATAAACTTGGTCTTGTAATTTAATTTATCCGAAATGCAAGAGGAGTTTATTAAAAGGACGTTGGGGGCTTAGTTAAATCTAATTTCCTTTAACTGCGTCAAATCCAATCAAAGATTTGGTTTAAAGATGTGCAAGTGGAAAACGTGCGGTCAAGCCGAGACAGGGGTAGAGTTTTCCTGTTGAGCAGGTCAGAACTAGGGTGGCAGGTTTGGGTTGTTATGTTGGGATTTCATTCTGCGAATAAATATGTTCCTTCTAAATCAATTCAAAGTAACTGAGAGCTCCACTGCAGAAAAGACAGGGTGGTTCTCCAGAGTAGATCCCAGTCCTGGTCCTGTTGACCCTCAGACCTGCTGGGTTTCATTCCATCCCTCCTTCATCAGATAACTCAGGCCTTGCTCCATCTGAGAAGTTGCTTCAATTAAATGCTTGCATTTGTTTCTAGGCTCAAGTTTGGGGAATTTATATCGCTTATGAAATACAACAGTCAAAGCACCAAAATATTTAAGGGCTGTGAACGAACAGTTGAAATTTATTCTTGTTGTTGTTGTTGTTGTTAACACCTGAGGGGTTTGGTTGTGTAACTGGGGACTCGGCTGGTGTGCGGGTCACCAGCACCGGGACTGGGAGCCCCTGTTCCAGAGGTTTAGAAGTGACTCTTTCTTCTAAAGCCATGCTGGCCGTCCCTGTCCCAGTCCCTGACACGGTTGACCTCTGCCCTTCCCAGCAACTGGTGGAGTCTCTGGAGCGGCAGAAGTCGCAGACCAAGGAGCTGAAGGACGCGCACCAGCAGCGCAAGCTGGCCATGCAGGAGTTCTCGGAGCTCAACGAGAGGATGGCGGAGCTGCGCTCGCAGAAGCAGAAGCTGTCCCGCCAGCTCCGCGACAAGGAGGAGGAGATGGAGGTGGTCATGCAGAAAATCGAATCCATGCGCCAGGAGATCCGCAAAACGGAGAAGGCCCGCAAGGAGGTAACGCCGAAGAGCTCGTCGCGCTGGGTTGTCAGCTTACAGGTCATGTCAGCACCCGAAAGGTTGACATCGGCACAATCCAAGAATTTAAAACATTTAAAATAAACAGTGCGAGTTGTTGTTTTTTTTTCTTTTTTTTTTCCATTTTCCCCCTGGGGCACGTATCTTCCTCTGCCGGCGACGGCAGAGCATTCCGCCCCTGGAATGCGTCGCCTTCGGTTTCTCTTTAACCACAACGCGAAAGACCGGCCAAGGGGCGAGTGCGTCGTCTGTGTTCAATAGCGTCTCCGCGGGCGACGGCAGGAATGTTTGCGCGTCTCCCCCGACGGGCCGGGTCGCGCGGGACTGCCCCCACGCCTGACTCCAACACTCGCTGCTCACACCTCCGTGCCTAATGACATCCAGATGGGTGACACTGGCCTTCGCAGTGAGACACCAGCCAGGAATGCGCTGCTTTATTGTGAGAGTGAGAGGGATGTTTGACCCTTTCTGCTCTGCAAGGGCTCTACCCATCTCTCTCTCTCACACACACACACACACACACACACACACACACACACACACACACACAAAGTGAGAAAGGGATTCTGTTGTGTGTCGCTGGAAGAAGTCATCTTTCCAGAACCCATGCATTGTTGTCTGCAGCCTTCCTGGAAGCCTCATGTGAAGAGTTTTAAGAAGCAAAGTAGCTGTTTTCTTTAGTGTTAAGATACACACAGTATCTCTAAATGAGCATCCTCTTGTTTTCGCTTTTGTGAGTTGTGGGTTTCCACTCGGGTTCAGTTTTCTTTCTGGGTTTGGGCTTGGGATCACTTCTCTGGTACCTGCGTGTGCTGTATCGCCTCGGTCTGACACTGTGTTCACATCCT